CCCCAAAACCCCAAAACCCCAAAACCCCAAAACCCCAAAATTTAGTTGGGTTGTTGAATGTTAGTTATAGAATTAGTTTGGGAGATTTAAGGTGTTTTAAAAGTCGGGTGAAATAAAGAAAGATCAATTTTTATAACGACATTTCATTAAGCTTGGTTCTTAAGAGTTTAACTTTCTTTTCCCAACACTTGATATAACCTCGTAGTGAAGATAGAGTTCGGTGAATTTTGATAATAGACTGAGACATAACATTTTTAAAAGGGCAGTTTTGGTTTTTCTAAGACAAAAGATCTGTTAATAATATATTAGAAAGAAAGAAATTTATGTGCGTCTTGTGCATTTATTACATATCCAAAGTATCTTTTGTCAAGGAGCGCTCAAATTCAGCAAAAGTAACCTTGCCGTCTTTATCGTAGTCTCATATCTCCAATATCTCTTCAAGGAGTTGAGGTGTGACAAACTCCAGGCTTTTCTTTTTTATCAAACCTTGTAGATCTTCCGTACTTAGGACTCCATCATGATTAACATCAAGTAACTTGTAGGCCTTCATGATTCTCTTTTTGTTCAGCAAAGTTCTTTTTCCTATATCCCGGATAAATACTTAGCTGGGGTAAAGAATATCTAGAACAAATTCGTGGAAAATTCTTTGAAATATAACAGAACCTTACCAAGAGTAGCTGTAATGAATTCATTGTAGTTGATGGCTCCGTTCTTGTCGGTATCCACAGCCTCCAAAATCTGGTTGATCTCTTCTGAAGAGAGGAGGTCTTTCATATTAAACCTGAGCTCCGCTCAGGTTATATATCCATCCTGATTCTTATCAAGACTGCGGAAGATTTTAATCTGTTTCTGGATTTCTTCATCTCCTGCACGAGTAGCCATGAAGGTAAAAATTCACTTCTTGAAGGAATTGAGGTTCTGAAATCGTTTCAACTTATTCATATATTTCTTTTCGATACTTTTATTTTCCCTCGGAGATTTCTTCAATTGATTGAACCAAGGATGCCTCAAAGCTTCCTTTGGCGATATTCGGTTATCTTCGGCAGTCAGGAGATTTCATATGAGGTCTTTGGCTTCATCAGAGACATGCTTCCATATATCACCTTTGAACCCATCTTCTTTTAAAACTTCGCCCTTTTCTGCAATCTTTTCCAAAATCTGAACTTCTGTTTCTGCATCAAAAGGGGGCTCTCCTGCCAACATCAGGTACAGAATAACACCTATAGCCCACATGTCGCAGGCATTGCTATAGTCTCCACTGATGATCTCAGGTGCCATATAATACACTGTGCCAACAGTTGTCATCATGCGGATGTACTTGCCTTCGCCCTCCTCATTGATTTTATAATATGATGTAGCTAGACCAAAATCTATGAGCTTTAAATTATTGCCTTCTTCATTTGAATAAAACATAAAGTTATCAGGCTTGATATCCCTGTGGCAGATCCCGTTCTTATGGCAGTACAGAACTGCTTGCAAGATCTGGCGGATTATACTGCAGGTCTTGTGCTCATCAAGAGTTTCTATTGACCCAAAATCTGATCAAAAAGTTCACCTCCAGAACAATACTCCATTACTAAATGAATACTTTCGCTATCTTCATAGACTTCAAATAATTTCACGATGTTAGGATGGTCTAATGTCTTCAATGTGCTGAGTTCATTCAGGAGCCTAGTCTTGTTCCTGATCCGGGACTTTTTGATGGATTTTATATCGCTCTGATTTCGTCTGTGTCCTTATCAGTACCTCTCCGGACGACCCCAAAAGAACCTTCGCCTAGTATCGTTTCTTCTATATCATAGAAATTATGTATGTCTTCTTCTTTATGGATAATGAATAGCTCTTTCTTTAACGAAAATTGTTGGAGGACTGAATTTATATCAAAATTCCTCTGTTTTTCCTCCCAAATGACCTCCTTTTGAGCTTGAGAGAGCACCATTGTGTCTTCCTCATCATCAAGCACTAGCTCGTCCACATAAATAAGGTCTTCCATGGTTGGTATATGCTTTATTTTCTATATTTTGACACAGCTTTGGGGTTTTGGGGTTTTGGGGTTTTGGGGTTTTGGGG